CGATTTGGCTTGGATGAGTATGCTGACATCACAGAAGCAAGACATGTTGTATTCTCAGCAATCATCGAAGAACCAGCTACCATCCAAGAAGCCTTCAATAGTGAATATTCCGCACAGTGGAAAGAAGCAACGGATTCAGAGTATCAGTCACTCATAGAGAACCAAACGTGGGAGTTAGTGAAGCCAGCAAAAGACCGAAAGGCTATCGGGTGCAAGTGGGTCTTCAAAGTAAAGTATGACGAAAATGGACAAGTGGAACGTTTCAAAAGTCGTTTAGTAGCAAAAGGGTATTCTCAGAAGTACGGCGTCGATTTTGGTGAAACTTTTTCTCCTGTCGTGCGGTTCAGTTCTATTCGAGCCTTACTGGCTTTTGCAGTTCAAAACCGAATGCTGATTCATCAAATGGATGTAACTACGGCATTTCTGAACGGAGATTTAACGGAAGAAATCTATATGGAGCAACCAGAGGGTTACGTGATACGTGGAAAAGAGAATCTGGTTTGCAGGCTCAAAAAATCCCTCTATGGACTCAAGCAATCACCACGTTGCTGGAATCGAAAATTTAGAAACGCGCTCGAATCACTAAATTTCAGACAAGGCCAAGCAGATCCGTGTATCTTCGTGAAGGATCTCTTGAAAGAAACAATTTGACAATTATTGCTGTTTACGTAGATGATTTAATCATCATATCCACTACTCAAGATGAAATGAAACAAATGAAAGTAAACCTGAGAAAGAATTTCAAGATGAAAGATTTGGGCAGCCTTCATTTCTGCCTTGGAGTCAGCGTTGAGCAAAGCGAAGAAGGAGTCAGTCTATCACAGAAGCAGTACATTGAAAAATTACTGAAGCGCTATGGACTTCAAGATGCTAATCCAGTGTGTACACCTCTTGATCCAAATGTTAAACTTGTAGCAGATGATGGAAACAGCAAACCTGTTGATAACGTTCAATATCAGTCTATGATAGGGAGTCTACTCTATGCTGCCATCGCAACAAGGCCTGATATCGCTCAAGCAGTGGGAGCTCTTCCTCAATTCAATTCAGCACCAACAGAAGCGCATCTTACTGCTGTAAAACGGGTATTTCGTTATCTGAAAGGAACAATCAATCTTTCGCTGGTTTACAAGAAATCAGAAAGCAAAGAAGTTACGGGATTTAGTGATGCTAGTTGGGCTGACGATATGCAGAATCGCCACTCAACCACTGGAAATGTCTTCATGATGGCCGGAGGTGCGATTAGCTGGCTTAGTCAAAAACAATAAACAGTGGCTCTTTCAACCGCTGAGGCAGAGTACATTGCCTTGAGTAAAGCTGCCCAAGAGGTCGTATGGCTGAAGCAACTGTTTAGAGAAATAGGAGACAATGTGCAACCTATAACCATCATGGAAGACAACCAAGGAGCAATTTCGATGACAAAAAATCCAGTCGGACATAAACGGACGAAACACATCGACATAAGGTATCATTTTGTTCGAGAACAAGTAGAGAAAGGGACTCTGCTACTAAAATATTGCAACACGAAAGAAATGCTGGCTGACTTACTTACTAAATCACTGAACAGAGGTCAATTTGAGTACCTACGCTGCAAGCTCGGAATGCAATAAAACCTGAAAAGAAACTGTTGATTGAGTGGGAGTGTTGGGAACGTGCACTCAACAGTTACGTAATTGCTGCGTTTGTAAGTAAACTAATGACTTTCGTAATTAGTAGCTAGTGTAGGACACGTGTTAGAGTAGATTGCTTGCTGCTCTATTGTCAGCCAATTAGAAGCTTCTAGAAAGTTCTAATGATCGCTGAGGTAGAACTTTTTAGCACGCGTCACGTAGAGTTTAGATAGTTGCATGTTTCGCAGTGAACGAGTCGATAGAATCTCAAAACAACACTTAATATACAGTAATATCGTATTTCAGTCGTACTTTGGTACAACAGTGTGAAATTTCGAGACAAAAAACAGTTTTGTATGGAATCTTGTTGTGCTATATTTAGAGACAAGTTTTGCAATGCTACAAAGTAAACAGAATGAATGTTTTTTTGGTAATAACACACATATATCATCATACCAAAACTAGACATCAAAACACTGGCATGAGCATTGGCAAATTTCATTACACTGCAGAATAACTGCTTGCATTTGAACCTTCTCTTGTTATTTTTCCTACAGTTGCGATTAACTAACTTCTTAAAAGCTTTCAGTGGTTCAGGTAAGGTTATCCACGATGGATACAAAGCTCTGTTATCTTGAACCCGTTCGAGTTCATTTATACCGAGTATATTCTGCCATGCCACTAGCATCTGTCCCCGTATCATTCTACAGAGCAGAGCGTGAAAATTCAACAGATCACAAAGAAAACTAACCATACCCTATAAGATGCAAGCTGGAAGGCATGTCCTGTCGTTTGACTGTGACGTTGACATTAGCAGGCCGCTTTGACGCAATTTCATGAACAGGAATCCACCGTTAATTGTTTCTTGCTCCAAGCTCTATCCACAACTTTCGAACATTTAACCTTTGAAACAAAGATACTTTATTTTAAGTCATTGCACAGTTCATCAATGTCTTTTGCAGAGCATGTTATGCTAGTGTCGTCTACATACATATTTGTTGAGTTTTTTTCTAAGCATCGCTCAAAATCATTTACGTATAGGATGAAAAGGAGGGGCCCAAGGCACGAACCCTGGGGAATACCGCACTGAACCTTCTTTTGTTGTGAACTGGATCCATATGGGCGGAAGAAGGCCATTGTTTCTTCTTGTTAACCCTCTCAAAAACGATGAAAAAATACTTTTTTAGCTCCTCATTGCTGCTATTTGATAAGCTTTTTTACATACCAACCAATTTCTGTTTAGACTCTTAATTTTTGAGTTAAACTTTCAGAGACCTCGGTTTGGCTGCATCTGTTGGTCGAGGCTCAATCCAGACTGATTTCACAACTCTGAACCCTGGTAGTTCTGTCAAACCCTAACTTTATACAAATTCCCTACACTGAATTTGAATCATGCTTCTTTCGTATTATTACATCACCCATTGAGATTTCCATGAACTTAAATATAATAACGTTCTTCTTTCTTATTTCCCTTTCATTTATTTTTTGCTATTATTTTCACATTGAATATGATGTCATGTATGACGCAGCTTCATTGTAATCTTTAACCAGTAATGAACATGATCCACTTTCTAGATCTTCCTCTTTACTTCAGCCATTCTTGATACTAAGCCTATACTGATCTGTTCATGGGCCTATGTCAGCTTTCTCAACTGTTCTTTTTTTAAGCCTTTGCCTCTATTTCTACTGGCCATATTTCCGTTGCTCTTTTGCTTGATTCTGATAAGAAACTGCCCCTTAACGAGATTTCAAAAGGTCTTAAAACGGAATTTCTATAAAAAATTCTTGAAATTACAAAGAATGTGCCTCACTCAGTCACTTCAATCCTTGCCCTTGTGTTTTTATATCCCAGTCTCAATACGATTTTACTATTTTGTTTGCTCTTGAAATTTAAACGTTTTTTACAAGAAACGTGCCGTTCGGGTACAGGCTTGCTAGTTTCTTAATTCTTCGGTCATTTCAGCCTTAAGCAGTGGCGTAACCACGGGAAAGAAGGGGGGACTATCCCCCCACTTTTTTAGAAAATTGGTTATTGAGATTCTTGCAAATCCGATGAGAAAACGTCGGGGGGGGGGGGGTGTACGTTATCCAGATCAGAAGCTCATTTTGGTGTAAAGCCATGGACTGAGGCAAAAGATCAAACTTTATTTGTCTACAATGCTAGAAAGTCCTCTTTTAATAAGCAGCAAGAAAGATTTTTCCAACAGAATTGACTTATCAACCCTTCGAAAACAATTTCCAATCAAATCTTATTGGGATTGTGTTTATCGATTAGAACTTAGTATCCCCGCAAGAATTTTGTGAACTTGAAGAGCTCGTTGTATTATATTTCATGAAAGTGTAGCTTATGAAAATTTTTACTCTTAGCACTTTATTCTAGGTCTTTTCGTGATTTTTACACATGTAAGATTTCTAATTTCAAAACTCTGAAATTAAGTTTAGGCAAAAACGTTCATTGCCAAAGGTAAATTGAATGACATCTCTTGGGAGGCAAGGGGTATTTTCTCCGAGAGAAAATGTTTCCCACGGGAAAAGGGGCTTGGTTCAAAAGGGGCGAGGTCCAAGGGGGCGTGTCCCAGAAGGGGCGTGGTGCTGCTTTCCTTTTGTCCCCCCTCCACCCCCACCCTTCACTTATCCCAGGCTGGAGCCGCCACTGGCCTCAAGTGTTCCTGAACTTTCCAAGTTATTTTTATTAAAAAATAAAGCTGACACAAACAATGGTGAGGATAGATTTTTCTGTCAATTCGCAGCTTGATGATGTTTCTTTAAATTTTGTCACTTTTGCTGCCATTTCTAGGATGTTGAATTGTATCCGAGGTAAAATGTTCTTCGGATAGTTAAAAATGGTAGATCTCCGACAGCAGCAACCCCCTTTCTCAAATGAATATTCAAGCAGAAAAAACATTCATTATATTTTAGATTGGTGACGTTGCTAGCCAAAGTTATCACGGCCAGTTTTAGGAGCAGGGCCATGCTTTAAGGAAGTATTGGTTTTTGACATCAACGGAATTCAAGCTACGTAAGGGATTGCAATGCCCCTTTTTCTACGTAAGGGACCGTAATGCCCCTTTTTTCTACCTAAGGGATCGCAATGCCCCTTTTTTTACGTAAGGGATCACAATGCCCCTTTGCTATTTACCGTAGCTAACATGAATCGAATAATGGGAAAGAATTTAGCAAAAAAGAGCGTTCCCCCGCATTTGCGATTGTTTGAAGGGCGTGGTCCCCAAAAAAATTTCTGGGGCCTGTGCCTTAGGAACCACCCCCACTGCTGCAGCCCTGGGTACGCCACTGATCCAGATTAATCATCATTGATGACATTTCTATTTATGCTTCTGGATTTAGGCCTTTAATCCTGAAAATATTCTAAACTTTTGTTTTTTGCCCCTCCAGGTGCCTTGATCTCTTGGATATACCATGCAGCCAAAATAGGGATGCCGAACTATTTCGCGTTCCTTTGGGGTGGTGGACAAGCACTTCTTTTGCTGATCGTTTCGTTTACTCGCATTATTGCAACGTTGTAGTCTCTGTTAGTGTTTATTTTCGCCATTCCGCCCCGTGCCACAGAATAGATTCTGTGCCAGTGCGCAAGGACGAGCACAGGGGGTCGGAGTAACTGGTTTTGATTTGTTGTGGTTACAATTCGTGGAGGCTGCCATCATGAAGCCAAACGGAAAACCGAGAAGGACAAATTTCACTGGTTAAGTTTCTTAATATCCTGGAGAATTTTCCCATGACTACAATTTAGGACGCTTACAAAACTACAAAAAATTTACAGTCTTGCAGGGACTTGGAAGTTTCACTAACTCAATAGAGACTAGCTGGATTTAAACGAAGGAGGGGTAATGGCAAGGAAAGGTAAAATTCACGGAGTTGCGTCCGGAGGATGTGATATATTCATTTATTTACCGTTAACTAAGGAAACGTTTAAGTTGCCTGACGTTCAGCTAAGCACAAAAGTATTTGACTTGAAGAAAAGTCTAGAACTTATGATGGGAATTCCTGTAAATTTGCAACGCCTGTTCTACTTAGATAAGGAAGATCTGGAAGATTCCTGCGACCTCAGGAGCAGTGATATTGTAACTTCAGCTACACTGAGCATGCATATTTGGAGAAGCTGGGAAAAGGTAGTCTTCAATGTATTTATTGGGAATGAGCTCGAACTTGCTAAACTAAAACACAGCGAAGCCTCTTGTATTTCAAATGATCAGTGGAAGGACCGTTACCAGCATCAAATCAATGTTGCACTTTATGTTGCTGCCAATAAAGGAAAGAAAGAGCTATTAGATTATTTACTAACAGAGGGGGCTGATGTAAATTGGCAGACTGGCCTTGGACGTACCCCACTGCATGCAGCAGCAGCACGAGGGAGACTAGAATGTATCAAATTGCTACTGGAAAGAGGGGCAATTGCAGATCAACTTGATAAATTGGGAAAGACTGCTTCAAGAGTAGCCAGTGAGCATTGCTTTAAAGAAAGTGAAAAACAGCTATTTTTATTTCAATGGCAGGAGAGAGCAAAAACAATTAAGCTAAAGGAGCCTTGCTCTAGTTTAATGATGCATCAACAGTTTGATTCAGGATATTCAACTTGGTTACATGGAAAATGTCAACAGATTTACATGTGCAGTACTTTACCCTCGAATGGGCAAACAAACATAAAGTCAGATGGCTCAGTGTCTATAACTGCAGCAAAGCATGATGTCCAAGAGGAGCTTGATGAGAAAGAACGAATTCAGCAGGAAGTTTTAGAAAATGAATCATCTTCTGGTAAGACAACCCCTTTCTTATATTTTAGCAGGAAAAGATTTTTGGTCTGTTTCTGCTTGTCCTATGAGGTATTGTAGGTAAAAAGACGCTTGAATTTTAAATCTTGACTTGAATGAATATCATATATCACAATCTGTGATTCTTTTACCTTGTTCGTATATGTAGAGCTGAGGATATTTATTATAAATGCAATATTGCCAGGTGCAAATTATGGCTAGAGAGCAAGGGGGCTAGAGGCACATGTGCCATTTATTTTTCAGGGATACATGGCCCTTTTTAAATAAGAAGAGCACCACTCAAGTTTAACTGTCTAGGGGTTAGAAACCTGAAATATGTCTCCAATGTGTAGCATTTTTAATCAAGCATAAAATATTACCTTTTCTAGCATATAATTTTCTAATTCTTTTTCACAAGCTTCATCAAGCTTCATCAAGCCTTTTTTGTATCTAATGTATCAAGACTGTACTTTCCCAAAGGAATCCTATTACCAATGTAGGTCAAAAGCACCAAAAAATCAATGAACCAACAAAATTTTATTATGTGAAATTTCTATTATGTGGTTTGAGTAGAGGTTTGAATAGTCAAAGAAGTGACAGGCACATGACTGGAAAGCTGTTTAATTGTACTTATTGTTCTATTTCATATAAACGAATTTAAACAAGGTTAAAATTCAGAAATTAATGTCTGATTACAATACTTGGCCTTGTGAAAAAACATATTACAATATAAATTTATTTAAACTGAATAAATAATTACAATCTTTTTGAAAGAGAAAAGTAAAAAAAGCAAAGATAAGACAGCTTTGGCATTAGAGATTTCTAGCTGCCCTGTTCTGCAATTTTGTAATTTATTCAACCTAGTGGTCCCACAGAAGCCCCATACCAAGCAACAAAGGTTCTACAACACCCTTTTATTTTAGTGGTACATAGAATATATCATTTGACGTATTACAGCAGGCCAAGAGCCTGCAAAATTTTAGTCTGGATGTTATTGATTTGGCTTTTCATTTCCCATAAGTTTTTTTGTTTTATTCACAAGTATTTGGTGTTAAACAGAAATTTGATTTTGTAAAGTAGCATTGGGCTTTTTTAGTGCAAACTTCTGAGCATTGATAAATAATAAAAATGGAGTGATCCAAGACACAAGCCCTAAGGTCCTTCAATTTCTATGGCCTGTTTTGAGAGAGGCGCCATTGACATTTAAAAACTGCTTACAATTATAAGAGCAGAACCAATGGTTTTCAATGCCATTTATGCGGTAATGATGAATTTTGGCTTGTTTGTTTCAGAGTGTTTCACGATAAACAGTTTCAAACGCTTTTTAAGATCAATTAATATAACAGGGTTGAAATTACTATTATCAATGCAAACATACTAATCATTGTGTGAATAAAGAAAAGGTCACAATAAAAGGCTGCTCGACTAACTCTGAAGGAATTATTGTGGCGAAAAATCGATAAAAATGTAGAAACATGGCAATGTGCTATGAAGGAACAAGAACAAATACACGTAAATCAGTGAAGGCTAATATTTCACCTCTGCATACAGGGCTTCGTCAGAGTGAAGTGGATTTTAATCATTAGTGGATTTGAGCAAGCATGTCACAACTTAGTACAGAACTCGGAAACTTGACTCATCCATGTATAGATTTTTGTTTTTTTCAAGGTGATTAAAAAGCTAATTGTGTTGCATTTGTCAAGGCCTTGTGACAAGCGGTTGCTTAAAAGATTAAATTGCAAATTAGTTCTATTTCTTTTCAGATCTTTCATTTTTGCCAAAAATTGAAGATTCTCCTGCAAGGTATGTTTATCATCATCTTCAAATATTGTTATCATTAAAAGTAAAGTGTAGCTGGGTACTAGAATATTCATGGTAATTTGTATCACTTTTGGTAGTAAACATACCCAAATTTGCCAATGATCTTAAAGCATTTCATCTTCTGAAAACAAAAAGATTCACTAAATAATGTCTCCTTACTTGTATTCATTTTGCATGTGCATGTAAACTATTTGTAAAATCTCCTTGTCAGCAATAACTCCAAATAATTTTTTCAGCCACATCCATTCAAAAAGGAAAGTTTTGAAGAAAGCAAAGGCATTTGATAACTGGCTAATGCAGAAAAACCTGATGGCAGCAAAGAACACTGGGAATAATTTACCAACAGCAAGACAAACAAATGTAAATGACATAACCAGCAAGGTTAAGAGGAAAAAAGAACAAGGAAAGTCAACTGTGAGGCATTTGGTCAGTGAAGAAAAACCAAGAAGAAGAATAGATATTTATGACACTCAAGAACACAATGGGAGATTTGAAAAGGAGTTTCTTAATATTTTAAGTCATTAGGCATTTTTTTATAGCATTCAGACAATTTTACAAATTATCTGCTGAAAATTGACACACTGCCTAATCTCATAATATACAGATTCTGAACATTTTTAAATTGAACTCAGAAACCTAATACAGTGTCAAATTGATTTGATTAACATACTTAGGACCAAACAGCAATAAAAAGGACCAAACAACAAAAACCTAGAAAAAAGGTAGAATGCCAAAAAGCGCCATCAGCCATGAGTTTTTTAAAATGGGAATATTTTCCTTATATTTATAATTATATGCAAAATAGAAATACATTGAAATAACTTTAGTAAAATTACATAAAACAATGATATACAGCAGTTGTTTATGTCACTAAATGTTGATATTAACTAGGAAACACAAGTGTAAATAAGGTAACAGCAATTTTTGAGATAAATGCTGAGCAAGTACCATGCTGTATCCTAATGAGCTGCACAACTACCTCTACCTTACTATAATATTTATTCACTCAGTGTTGACATTATAGAAAACTTCTTTGGCTCAAAAATTATCACCAGATTTTGCTTTATAGCAGATTTTGCTTCAGATTTTGCAAAGGTGATTTATGTGTCAATAAGAATAAGACTTCAAAACGATTTTATTTAATTTGATAAAAGGATAAGATTTCTCAATTGGATCAACCAAAAACCACTGGATCATTTTTAACCCTTGTTGTTACCTGAGCTAGTTGAAATGCTGCCTAACCCAGCTTAAAAATATGTTTTCCCATTCATTTTAATTTGAGCGAAAAATTTCAATAAGACCACATGAACTTATGTATGGTACTTTGAGGAGCCAAAGTATTAAACTAAGCAACATCAGCAAGATGACCTAGTAGCTTGATAGTTCTTGGAATGCACCTCATTCTGTGTGATCGGCTGCTTGTGAAAATGCAAGTACTTGTGACCACAAAAAGTACAACAGATTTATGCCAAACAACAAATTTTTGACTAGAAGGTTAAATTCAACAAGATTGGTAGTAAAAAATATATGCAATCTTAGCTAAAGTGGAAAGTTGGCTTACATTTACGCTGTTTGTATCACTCTAGACTTTCCTGTCCGTTGCAGGACAGACGTTTAGATTAGACATAAAATGTTTTACCTCTGTTTTTCAAGAGGTCTCTGCCACTTAAACTGCATGAAAACTGCTGGAAACGTATTGCCTTACAAGTATTGATAAAATATTTGAAATACTTGCAGGTGCATTTTTCCAACTCAAGAAAACTTTTGGATATCAATTGAATCAAGAGCAAATGTGTTCTTTTTAATTTCTTTTTGCATTCACAGAATTATCTGAATATCACATACTATATCTTACAAAAAGGCTGCATGCTGATGGCTGATTTGTATATTTACAGCTAGTGAAATAATAACTGAACAGCTAGAACAACGATATTGAGCCATAATTCTTAAAAGTGCCGAAATGCCTTTCTTGTCTTTTGTCTGATACTCGTTCAACCTCAGCCAGTTCATGCTAAGGACACAATCTATCTCTGAATGACATTGGTTCCTAGGTCGGTGACACTACCGCGTTATTGCAACACACAGATGCTGTCGAATCTCTTTGCTCTTTTCCAAAACAATCATGACTATGGTGTAGAGTGGCTGTCACATTAAAGTATCCTAACCAGTTAAATCTAATCTACAAATGGTAGGCTTCGGCGAGGTCACGTCTGACACAACCAGTTCTTGTCCACATTGTAAACCGAGTTCTGAAAACAAAGGACAGAAGTAGAATAAAGCATTAAAACTAAACAAAGGAACTGTCTAGCGCTTTATAGATTAAAAACTCTGCAGGTTATCATTATTATTATTATCAACAAACTGACGCAACACTCCCAAATCACCAAGGCATCACTATTATAAATAACTTTTAATCGCAAAACATTTTTGTACAGACCACGTTGAGATGGTCATTGGAGTTCCTTACAGAAAACGAAATAAATCATTTCGGTCTGAGAAATTCTCGCGCGCTTTGTTCTTTTAATTCTTACCAGTTGACATTGTAACTGATTGTACATGGTTCATACAAATAAAGGAAAGAAAGGGTGTTAAATTGATATATAAATTACCTTTAAGCGATTTTTGAAGATTTGCTCGAGTTGCTTGCTCTATTGACGGGATATTCTATAGTCAAAAGGAGACGCTGGTCAGCACTCGTAGAAATAAAAACACTGATAAAAGAGCAATAACAAAACATATATGGCAGCCTCGTGCACACGCTGAGTTGTTCTAAGGGATAAATATGGCAAATACCTGCAGGTACAGGGTCTTGTTTTTTCCATTTAACATCGTAGTGATTCCAGGTGCTTTCATTTGCCTGTCAAAGGGAACAGCGGATTACAGCAGAGTCTCTTTCTCTTTTATTGTTTTTGAAGAGACCCCTTTCTATCCAAAAAGCATCACAAAATCCCTATTAACATTTAGAATACATGGTATGATTTCCAATGTAACTTTGTGACGAAAATAAAAGCCGTCGTAGCCGAGTGCTTTTGCCAGTATGGGCCAAACAAAGTGAGAAGAGGCAACGCTCAACTGATACAAATTCAAACACGCTTCATTGCATGAAAATAACATACTTACGTCCTTTCGTCATTTGACAGGTAATCTACAAGTTCTTGGAGCAATGCACTCTCTTTCATTCTTATAAACAACGGTGCTTGGCTGCAAGCAGCGCAATCTTCCTGAAAGCAACCATTAGTACAATTTGTATCAACTTTTTCATCTCACGAAAAACACTATTCAGGCATGTAATTTATTGCTCCCAACTAAATGCAGAATTTCACCCTGACCGGCCCTGAGTCCGTTTCTGTTTCGTTACTATAGAGGAAATAGCTCTATCTTTCCTTACCTTTATATTTATTATCAACAAACGAGAAAATGCTCTATTCAAATTGGAACTTTATCTAACAGGAGACATTTCCAAACCAAGTCTTTGTACATAAGTCTAAGTCGAGATGGGCACCTGATAGGGTTAAAGACCCTTTTCTGGTTTGATACTCGCCACGCATTTAATGATGACACATTTAATGATGACACATTTAATGATGACACATTTAATGATGACACATTTAATGATGACACATTTAATGATAACGCATTTAATGATGACACATTTAATGATAACGCTTTTTTGCAAATTGAAGTAAAATTTGAAATGATTGCTATCAGTAACTATTATATTTTGCCAATCAAAAGGACCATCAAATAAACAAAATTTGCAAAGGTTATGTTCAAAGGTTTTGTTCAAATTATAGAAATCTGAGATGTAAAATACAGACCTTACGCTCTGTCTCAAAGGTGTAGCTATAGATGCCTTGAGTGTCGTTGAAAATCATGTAGTTTTTCATCAGAGAATAGCAGCTGAAAGAGACAAGACATTAGCCTACCCAAATAAACCGTCAAAATTTTGAATGCAGTTTGATACTCTTGAATGATCTATTTGAGTAAAAATTATTTCCTTTAATCTAGACTACCAAAAATCAAGAAATCAGTCATAGTCAAGAAATCAAAAATTCAGTCATAAAGAAAATTTAGTAAATGAAGAAATTTGCATACCTCGTAGCTAGTTTGAATACCTCATTTGCACATACAGCTAGACAGCAACGAGAACAAATAGACAAAGTTAGAGAAAGAAAACAATTTACCGTTCCTTGAAATTGAAAATGAATGAACGATGTGGGGATAAGTATCACACATGCCGATGAAAGAATGAAAACAAACTGTGCAAGGATAAGTGAAAAGTAAAAGAGGTAAGAACGACTAAATACGTCGAGCGGCGGAGCTAAGAAAACTTGGAGGAAGCAATTTATTGAACTTCACTGGTAGGTTGAATGATCTATTTGAGTAAAAATTATTTCCTTTAATCTAGACTACCAAAAATCAAGAAATCAGTCATAGTCAAGAAATCAAAAATTCAGTCATAAAGAAAATTTAGTAAATGAAGAAATTTGCATACCTCGTAGCTAGTTTGAATACCTCATTTGCACATACAGCTAGACAGCAACGAGAACAAATAGACAAAGTTAGAGAAAGAAAACAATTTACCGTTCTTTGAAATTGAAAATGAATGAACGATGTGGGGATAAGTATCACACATGCCGATGAAAGAATGAAAACAAACTGTGCAAGGATAAGTGAAAAGTAAAAGAGGTAAGAACGACTAAATACGTCGAGCGGCGGAGCTAAGAAAACTTGGAGGAAGCAATTTATTGAACTTCACTGGTAGGTTAAAAGCTTTGAAAAGAGTTGAACGGAAATGATGCAAAAATGAAACTTTTTGCGATATATGCATATTTATATGGCGCAGAGACCTCAAGCAGAGACTTGAATAAATGGCACAGGCTGGCGTTGGATCGGTGCAGCCAGATAAACTAACTTCATATTCTATACCTTAATGATCAAAAGTCTTTTAAATAAAAAATACCTGCGATAACTGCATTTGTTGATGCCACGGCTGGAATTATATTTTTAATGACCCCTACGACAGAAATACACAGCTCAGGGGAATACACAACCAACTCAGAGCAAAGAAAACTGAGAGAAATAGAAATAACGTACTAAGAAAAGATTGCCATTCACAAAACCCCAGATGAATTGAACACCACACAATCCCGAATACTCTTATGAGAGACTGAGAACTGTACCTTGCGTAAGACGGTATGTTACACCATTGATGTTATACTGTCTTGCTCGTTCAAGAGCCTGGTTGTAGATCCATTCAACGTGGACTGGATCATCACCATCAATGGCAACATCTAAATAAAATGGTCAAATCACATTCAGTCATTTGCATCAATGGTCAAATCACGTGTAAACATTCAACCCTCAAACAAAATCAACATTCAAACAGAAAAAAAATGGTGTTTATTTGATTGATACACAGGAAGATATGAATTTTGGCCCTTTTTACGAACCCGAAGCTAATAAAGACAAGTCACCAAGTATGCATGTCAGCCTTCCGTACTCTAAGAAAGTGGGTAAGAGAGGCCACGAAACGCCAGATCTGTTTAGCTTTCCAAGCTATTTAAAAACCTAGTCAGAAAGATAATCTTCCTATTTAAAGTAAATGTAAGCAAATCACGCCAGTAGGTAATGCAATTCAAACCATTATAGATGCCAATATGTGAAATGAGACGATACCTCCAAAAGGATGCTCCTGCGGCCATAAAATGACCTTCACGTATTCAATACAATGTGCAGGCAGCCTTGGTGTGTGCGCTATCGTACACATTGGAAATGTTACCTGAAAATTGGTTACATAACACCATAAAAATAAATCACACATATAGATTCACAAAAAGAGGCTTAATCACAGCTTTAAATCACTGAAGAGTTTCGAAACGAGCTTTAAAAGGCTCGACAACATCACTCCACATCAATAAGTGAAATCTTCGCTGATGTTTAATGGGGCTAAAGGATATGCAGCCGCGGCAAAAGTTATCAACCTGAAACAAGAAATAAAGTTCATTTCTAGAACAAAGGGCGCTTTCTTGAATAAAAAGGCACTTTCTAGAATAAAAGGACTTTTTCTAGAATAAAAGGACGCCTTCTAGAATAAAAGGACGCTTTTTTGAATGAAAGATTAGAAGGACGTCTGTAAATTTGAGGATTTTATCAAGATTTCTGTCAGAATTTCTCTAAACTTCTAAGGAGTGATTCAGCCCTGTCACAGATAAAAACACTAAATTTATGATTTGGTTGAAAACTTTCAGAGTCGCAGGAAAGTCGTTGAAAAAGCTTCAACTCGTTATGAAAGAGCTTTCGATCTGTTGCTATCACATAAAAGGAACATTAAAAATCTCTAGTAATGGAGTTTTCCATTTAAAGTCCTTAAAGTGCCCACGGAAACAGCATGCAGATAATCATAAACAGTTTGTCACAAGAGCCAAAACAATGGATTTTACCTGCGGTGGAAATAGGTCCAAATTGCATTCAATGCAGGCAGTCATTCCGGGGATTATTACTCTTGCATTGCCCTTGAAACCTTCAGACAAATGAAAACAAATTATAATTTGACTGGATTTGCTGTTTTAACATTTTGTCAGTTGCATACACGAAGATTGCAAATATTGTTAAACGTTTGTATTTTAAACATATAACAGGATATTTTTCAACTTGAGCACACATGGAGTTTCTGCAAGGTAGCACACATGGAGCTGCTGCAGGGTAGCATTTGATACCCTGAAGAATCCTTTCTAACCAGCTTACGTTAAAACGTTGTTGAAGAGAATACGCTTGAGCTTTAAGCTGATAAATGAGCTGTTTACCTTCGGTTCCACCATCGATTAGGGGAATTACCCCACCAACGATATTTCCATCCTCGTCATATTGCAGCAAGCTGTGCTAAAAAGCATACATCAAACCAGTTAGCAACTCGGATTAAGCAGTAGCAATTCCTCTAGTCATCCAATGTCATGTTTTAAATCTTTTAAAAAATATAATGGTCGGTGGGTAGACCTACCAACATCCCGTTTATCCATCTTCTGGCAACAATTGAATCTAAGCCACAGACAACGATGTTGAAGCCTTTTTAAAAAAGAAAAAACACAGTGAGCTTTGCTTAGATTGTTATACTTATCAAGCAGATTTCCACAAATTTAAGCTGCAGTATTTCAGCGAGCCTCTGTTTTCAAGATAAATAGTTTTTCTAAATTTGTTCAACTAAAACCTACTTATTCATTTTGCTTTCCAGAAGAGAAATAAACATCTCAATCAAGCGTCTACTTACGGAACAAAAGATTCTTAAAGTATAAAGTATAGTATGTTGAATCATAAGTTACCAGTGATTATGAACTAACAATTCTTCAGCAATATCATCATGAAAAGTCGTTGTATATCACTGTTAAAAAACAATGATACCTAAATGTAGTAAAAGTGTGCCCAAAACAAAAATATCGTAATATTCCATTAATCGCGATTTGCGGTCGTTTCGTAAGCTTAAAGATACTCCGAAAAAATTAACTCTAAAATATCACTTACTTGAATAGAAATGCTCATCTTTATCTTGTATCTTGCAAACATGCCTGAAAATCTGTCAGGAAGAGCAGCATAGTGCTAAAATATCACTTACTTGAATAGAAATGCTCATCTTTATCTTGTATCTTGCAAACATGCCTGAAAATCTGTCAGGAAGAGCAGCATAGTGCATATTGGGAAGATTGACGTAGAGTCTCAAACTGAGTTATAAACTGTCTCTGTCTTGACTTTCAAATCACATTTAAACACAAAACAAAAAAAGTTTTGGCATTGTCAAAGGGCAAGCTGACTGTTTTGTCGGATTTCTCAAAGAGCATATTGACAGTGCTACATCGGTTGGTCATTGACATACTCCCTGTTCTTGTCTCAAACAGAACAGTATTAGAGCCTCTATTAAACATAAACGTTTTTCAACCAGACAGCTGAAACCATGTCAGCTGCTGGCAAATAAATCAAAGGAGAATTTTCTGTAAACTGTTACATACAAAAAATTTATTAGAATTCATTTGTAGATGAGAGAGAAGGATACGGCACAACCATGCACCCGTGAACGCGTTTATTGACAAACTCAGCAGCAACGACCGCTTTCGGTCTGGTGACGTCTTTAGGCCTAAGAAAGATTCGTGACAGGAAATTACTTTATAATGACCGTCAAAAAATTGACTTGGAATGTAAAGTTGTTTTTGACATTATGCAAAAAACATTCGTAGGATCTTTAATACAAGCTTCTGGACGAGTACTGTGATCTGTTTTTTTTTTACATTCGGGGTCAAGCTCTTTTCTCTTTCACAATTCGTTCATTTTATATCTAAATTACTGTACGAAAGAATTTGAAGCTGAACTCGTCCTTTAGAAAAACCCTAGTACGAGAAAAGAAGATTCCGTCGTTGTTGGCACTTCGCACCCTGGAAAGTCTCGTCATTTGACGTAAACGGCCTCTTACGCTACAAAGCTTTTTGTGAAAGTCTGCCGACGAGCTCCAATCATTCGTAGTTGACCGATCAAGACACTTGTAACATAATATTGATAAAATAAGATAACATAATATAACATAACATAATATAAGATAAAATAATATTGCTATAGACTCATCTTACCTGAACAGAAACTGTCTATTCAAATTAGAGAGATCAATTGTATCCATATCGATAACTTCGATGTGGATAAAGCCCATCAAGGCCTGAAAACGAGACAAAATAAAGTCATTCAGCTAGAAATATAAAACCTTAAAGGCACCATGTCCCGTCAGACAACTGTTCGGAGTTAACAATAGGCCTTGCAGGGCGTTTATGATCGAATAAAAATTGTGAATTAGCCTTACATTGCCGATTGGTTATGTAGCAATAGCTCTATTGTGTGGTCAAACCGATGGAAAATTTAAATGGCCAGCGAAATGCGTCAGAGTGCCTCATGAAGCGAGAGCGAGGGGCAATCAGTTTTTTGTAGGTAATACTGTAGGTATCTAAAATGAAGTTTAGAATCTACTGTCACATGTCAATTTCTTACTCTGAGCCATCAAAGGCAAATGTCTGGGACTCAAGTATCAGGCTAATTAAGTATACGTTCAGCAATACTGTAGCTTTATGAAAACAAACTTTGGTTTGACCGTCACATAAGAGGGGGACTTCCTTGAATTAGCATATGATGGACATGAACCAGTGCCAGAAAAGGAAGATCATTGACATCTAGAGTAAATAATAGACAAGTTGCTACACATAGTGATGTAAAAAAGGATAAACGCAGATACAGGTGTTATGTGGACAGTGACTAAAATATGAATTTAATTACCAAATCTTTTAGCAGTTCGCAACCTAAGCCACCAGCTCCGATTACCAGCACCTTTGCGTTCTCTCTAAAAAACTGAAAATTCTAGGAAAAATGGACGAATTTATTACATATAAATAATAATTCAAGAAACGGGAAAAACAAATTAGTCATGACATTTACTTATTGGTGTTAAAAGATGATGCCGAAGCGTTTTTTTCCTTCTTTAAAGTTGTTACAATCTATAATCTCTAGAAAACCTCAAGCTAAAAAAAACAACTAATTCAAATTACTGATCCTATTTATATGGGCATTCATTTAAGGAAAATATATCATCCATAAAAGATGGGTTCAAACCGTTAAATATTTATAAATTTCTATCGCAAGATATTATAAATTTTTCTTATGAGAAGTGATTGCTTTATATTTTATTACAAATTGTTCAAAATTTGATTCATAATCATCATGAGCTATTCTCATTGCTCTTTCATAAATCCGGTTTATCCTGTTGTAAAACATCCAAATAAGAGGAAAATAATTGAAAAATGATAATATAAACCTTTTACATTTCAAGAATTCGCTTAGATTCGTCCATATACTGAGCAATCCTGGCTAGAGAATTTACCTTTTTCCCGGCTTCTGTACAAAAACTTAAATATGTTCTTCTAATCTAAGTTGATGGTCCAGTGTTACTCCCAAAAGTTTAATATTCTTACTTTCTATTATAGTAGAACCATTTATTTGAATTTTAGATTCCTCGAAATTGGATCCGCTTGGATTAAAAGTTATAGGCTTGCTTCTGTTGCCATTGAGAGCCAAAAAAGTTTCATAAAACCATTTATTAAGAATAGCTGCTTCCGATTCTAAGTCGTCAGTTAGCTCATTCATATCAGTACTTGACAGCCGAACTATATTGTCATCTGCATAATTGCATCAGTTGATTTTGTTCAAATGAAGAAAACTATTGTTTATGTAGATATTGAAAAGCAACAGGCCTAAGAGTGATCCTTGAGGAACCCCTTGCTTTGCATCCATCACTAAAATTTGAGTTTGTTTTTATTCGTTGTACCTTCTATCTAGATAACTGTACATAAATTCCATTGTGTTGTCGCTGAAGCCATAAGATTCCAATTTGTATAGGGTAAACAATCAAATGCCTTTGATATATCCATAAGCACTGCACCAGCCACAGCATTTTTCTAGGCACTTTTTCAGGCTCTCAATAAGTCATAATAAAGCATGTTGTGTGCTATCGCCTTTTATGCATCCACAAAGCAAAGAGTTTCACACTGATGTAATTGTAGATTTGATTAAACAGTATTCTTTCAAATATCTTTGAAGCTGAGCACACTTATTCGTCTATATTTTTCTCCATAGTTAAATCTCTTTTTTTTGAAAATAGGGCACACATAAGCCATTTTCATAAACATTTCATAAACAAAAGAATTCAAGTAAGGCAAGAATTCATAATAAGGATAAAATGATATACCATAGCTTGCCTAACATATGATCAGGGAGCAATGAAAGTTAAAATAAATGGCCTTGTGGATATTACATTCTTAATTTACCTTTGAAGGAAAAACTCAGGTAAAACTTTCTGAAAGGAAATCTCAACTCTGCTTCATAATTTCTTAATAAGATTAGACATACATTATCATTGGCTTCAAAATCAGAATCTGCCATTGGACCACTCCGCTCTGCAATCCTTTTCACATACTTCCATCTTTTGTTCAAACCATCACCACAAGAGGATTGCTCATCAATTTCCATACTATATCAGCATCAAAAATTCATTCAATAAATATTTGCTAAATTTAAAGCTTCTATCTAAACAAATATTCAGGCAACCAAAAGGGGCCTTTACAAAGACTTAAGCCTTTTAATGTTTAATTTTTATCAAAATTAACTGCTCAATTCACTCAAATAGTTTTTATTTACTTTTATTGGGAAGTATTTACAGTAATAAATTTTAGTTTATTGTAGTTTATTGCAAATTTAGACCTTGTGAATTTAGCCTGTGCTCTGGAGGAACCCACAATTTTTTTATCAATGTTTGAAAAAAAATTAGCAAAATAAACTAGGCATTCACAAAATATTGTGCAAAGAATGATGCCTTAGAAAATGTTTACAGGAAATGTTTGGAGCCAACCTATTTGTTTGTTTGCATAATAAAGAGTCCAACCAAAGAAAAAACATTTAATAGAATGCAACAGAGACTTTTCTTTTTCTCTGCAACAATGTCAAGACAAACAACTGTTACAACAAGTTTACAGTAAAAAAAATAAGCACTTTACACATTTTTAGAAAGCTTTACATATTTGTAAAGTGCTTTTGATAATTTTAGATAGAAGAGGAATACAGTTTTTAGCAAATAAACATTTGTTTGTAATGTGATATTTCAATTGCAATATCATCAAATATCAATAAATTTTAATATAGAATATGAACATAGTTAAAATCATAACAGAGCTATCAAGCTAAAACCCCCCACAGTTTACAGAAATTTACATTCAACTTGAATTATTGAAAAAAATGATTGAAAAAAAGCTTTAAGAAAACAAATCTAGGTAACAACTAGATGAAACACAAGAAAAGAAATTAAAGGGTTGAAAAAGTAAAGAAAAAAAGAAGAACAAAACAAAAATTAAAGAAAATAGAAAAGGAATATATCTGCCCAAACTCAAACTCAAATTCTTTCATTCAGCAACAAACATACAAGATTTAAAGGTATACAATTTCTAAGATTACAATAGATATACAACAAATTAGATAACAATGCTAGGATAGCCAATTAAACATTGCCAAGAACACTGAGGTAAACCCGAAAAGTTTTTGTGCCCAGCGCCCTTCCTGGGTTGATTACAATTACAAAGTAACTTGGTTTATAAAATGTAATACACTTGTACATGAAAAATATTAAGATTAAAATTTTTACGTGATTTGAATTTTTAAGTATAAGAAACAGTAACAGAGCAGATAAGAAAAGGGGGTAAAAATAGAAATGAAAAAGAAAGAAAAAAACAACTGGAAACTAACACTCTCTCACGCAATGTACCACTTCAATCAAGCAAGTGATATGCCCAACTGCATAACAAGGTCATAAATCTTATCAAATTGTGAGTTAATTTAAGACTGGGTCATAACTTAAAAGCAATGAGCCATGATGAAATGAGAGGAAATTCCCAAATATGCTAAGTCATCTTTTTTGCACAACAGTATTTTCAATAGAGCTGAGACTCATCATGATCAAATGATTTTACTCAATAGCCACCGAAGATCTGACCTCTGAAAACGTTGCCTTTTAAAATAACTTAGGTTCTTAATGAATTTATAGCTGCTCTAAAAATAGAGCCAAACAAAGCATGAAGAATACAAAATACTGCCACCGAACGGATTCCTGGATAGGGATAGGGACAATGTGTTAATATCTCAGCAGCTGAAAATCTCGCTAAACCAGAGCAATTCTTTCATTTAAAATCTAAACCATTGACACAAAAGCACGTATTTTAAAACAAGTTAAAATTGCTGTTGAAGCAAACAAACATAAAGTCATGAGTTTGACATTTCCTGCATTGACTTTCAAAACTTAATTACCTGCAATCCGCCATCTTCTATGAATCGAGGTCCGGGGCCCTGTAACCTCGGTTCGGTGGCGCTTTATATCATTGGTATTTTTTTATATAATATATATCAAGCTTTTACATTTAATCAGCTTCTTGATTCATCAGCTTGAAATAAGTAAAAGTTCAGGGGCGTACTGGCCGGTCGGGCTACTGGGCGATCACCCGGTGGGCCCTCCCAAAATTATTACAATTTCTTCTTAATTTTGCTATTAAATGGAAACTCGTAATGTTTGGTAGAAGCCCTCTCCTGCTGTCATAACACTGAGACTCTCTCAAGATTAGTGGATACAGAATGGATAAAAAGACCACTTTGCGGTATTCAAGTACTGAAAAAGCATTTTCCAAAATTTGGGGCCCCAAGTAAGCAAGGAGAATCATGGGCCAGGGCTCACTGTCCCTAATGCAATGATACGATACTTAACTTGAAGTTGTAAAATCTGTTAAAGTTTCTCTCCAGGCCCTCACTTTAAATGTTTTCTTTTAATCATAGGTTAAGGTGGTAAAGACATGAAAATTTTTGTGACTAAAATTCTAGGAAGATACATTATTTTAATGGTAACCAAATAGATTTGAGAGCATAGATCAAAACAGCAGAAGGGCTCAACACCCTCAGCTCTGACAAAATTTTTGCTCCAGTACATCCATAACTTGCTCCAGTATAAAACATGAATGATCCACCAAAGATATGTTCATGTTTATAGAGGTACTTACGTCAAATTTGGTGTATTTCTTCAGCAAAATTTTGGCATAATTCCATTTGCGTGGTCTGATTGTGCTAGTTTTTAATTCGAAAATTTACTGACCTGGCAAAAACCATGCGAGATTTTCCCTGACGAACTTTGCAAAATAACAGGCCCGTAAGACAGGTATAGAAAAAGCTATATTTCTATCCATGCCCCAAAATCCAGTTTAGCAGTCTACGCGCAAAAATGAATAAGTTCATATGTCTCCCATTGTAAACTAAACAAGAAAAAGAAACGAGATACAGCTGGAAGACTTAGATGCATTTCAAGGTTTATGCTCATAGAAATGTAGACATGAATTGACATCTAACCATAGAAAGAAAGACTCGTTACTCTTGAAAGTTACTAACTGAGAACATTTATTTACTGTCTTCAATAGACAAGACAGAATTTTTTATAATTGCATTTAGAAATTTGTTCAAAGTTATGTGTGTCAGAAATGCTTGGCTTGTCGCTAAAAGTTGAGAATAAGATCTTGGCTTTTTGGTAACTATTTTGGAAACTATTTGGGGATGAGGAATTATTGTAAATGAAAGTTTACATGTATTCCCCAGTATCGTCCTTTCGACAAACTTGATGTGGCAAATATTCTAGATGCATTTCTGGTCATTTCGATAATGTCGTATTTCGAAAACTTTTTTTGAATTCGGTCAGAATTCCTAACCATGGTGGTGGCCTTTATTTAACCTCTGAACAATCTAAACATATCACCCCTTCCCCCACTTTATTAACGTTTTGCCAGCCCTGCCTATGTTACTGATATTACCATCTTAGTTGCTGCGCAAATAATCAATTAACCTGGCTGCTCAACCAATTATCGGAAAAACATCAACCTCTATTCTGTTTTGACTGGAAAACTACATATCAAGATTTGTTTGAATAATTTAGATATTTCATGAATAACTTAGATTTTTCATTAAGTTCTACCTGGGGTATCAGATCCTCGGTGATTGAAAAAGGTGATCCCTCTAAATACCATTCGCTGCTTTTGATCATTGAGGCCCCCTTTAAAAGTCCTTCAGCTAGAGAACAATAATTTTCCCCCACAATATCATGATTTTCTCTCCTCTCGTATCCTACATCAAAATTAAATTTCCAGTGATAGTGATACTGACCTGGACTAAGGATTGTAGATCTTTTACACCTACGTCCCTGGTGCTTACTGATTAGAATTGATAGCAATATTCCAGTAATGTTTTAAGGCAGATGCAACAAAAATCTTTGGGGATACCCGTAAACTTTTTTTTTTCGGTGCCCTTTCCCGCGAATTGACCCAGGCCCTAAATTTGGAGCCAGTCCGCCCCTGCTTAAACTCCCTGATCTTGATTTTGAAATAATTTTTAGCGCTTCTTGTATATGCAATATATAGTTCCTTGTAAACAGGACAGACTTTAGAACAATGTAGCCAATAACATTACATAACATAACATAACATAACATAACATAACATAACATAACATAACATAACATAACATAACATAACATAACATAACATAACATAACATAACATAACATAACATAACATACATAACATAACATAACATACATAACATAACATAACATAACATAACATAACATACATAACATAACATAACATAACATAACATAACATAACATAACATAACATAACATAACATAACATAACATAACATAACATAACATAACATAACATAACATAACATAACATAAAATAACATAACATAACATAACATAACATAACATAACATAACATAACATAACATAACATAACATAACATAACATAACATAACATAACATAACATAACATAACATAACATAACATATACTACAGTATTGGCCCTCAAAATTGTTAATCGCATAATTTGTGATTTTGAAATGCCCCCAGAGCGTTTTAACACCCCATACAGCAATGTTTAGTCGCAATGTTAATACTTGGATTTTGTGCGCCAAAGAAAGAAATAGGCTTCAACGTGTCAAGAGCTCAGACAAGACCAAGAGGTTGAGAGAAGTTAAATTTTATATATCGTAATGGCAAAACATGACGAATCCTTGGGAACAGTTGACAGTGAAAGCGAATCGGATGAGATATCAATTCAAAGAAAGTTGCAAGACCAAAATCCTGACCTTAGGATATCATCAGGCAGCTACTGTTCAACATCACTAAACATCACTAAACATCACTGTACAAATGTCGAGCGATGTTCAGTGCAATGTTCGAGCTCAACAACCGTGTTGCAGGCAAACGCTTGCAGGCAAGATCATTATGCCATATAAGGTATTAGCGGAAACACGAGACGGCCACTACCTGGCGTAGGCCAGTGGACTGGTTGAGAGTAAAACACGCGGATGTGTCAAATAATAAGCAATAGGTTAGTCGAGATAAAAGCCTGAAGTAGTGAGCGTAAATTTATAAATGTATAACATCATCACAGGTGTCTTCTTTATCTTTACCCTGAAAATCGAGAGAGAAAAACAACTTTTGACAATCCGATGAAAACGGCAAAAAGACCCATTAAATTAATCCAGGGACAACATTCTTGCGGTGGCAAACTGCTGGCATTGCCACCCAATGCCACCCCTTGGCTATGTGGCCAACAGGACGGTCCTAAGTTGCTAATCCAAGTTTCACGCTTATTGTGATCATCAAGTATGATCACATGTATGATATGTATCTGTAAGGACATGACATTTTAACCTCTTGTATAAACAATAAACGATGTTTAATGCCTATTGTGCACATAGTAAATAAACAGTCGTTGACAAGTTGTTGACATACGTAGTCAAGTTTCGTTGTTAAGATAACACACGCTCGTTCAAGTTTTATGTTTCAAGTGAAGTAAAGATGAGTTTTGCACATTTCGAGGGTTTTCTATGATTGTGTACTGAACCTGCGCATGGGGATATGATACCCATAGATACCAAGAGTTACATATAAACCTTGAATAAAAGTTGATGCCATTATTTGTTCGGAATTTTGCAGTGCCAGAAGATTCGTGCACAGTGAATGATTGAATTGCTTTGTGTAGGAGTAGAACCATACCAGCCATAACAGCCTTGTTGGGTAAAATGGCGGTGCAAAATGAAGAAGCTCATAGTTATCTACATTCTAACTTCCATGCAGTGGTTTGTAGCTTCTGCAACTGTCCTTTCTCAAAATGTCTGTTGGCTTTGGAAAGATAACATGTGGCAGTAAGGAAGACAGAAGCCTTGATTTTTATTTGCGCTCTGTTTTTGTCAGAACAACAACGCTAAGCAAACTGCATTCAGAGGCGGCGCCATGAGGTGGATTGGGGACATGTCCACCCCACTTTTTTAAGATCAACTTTCTAATCTTTCCAAAACTGGATCAAAAACATAAGGGGGGATGTTAATTTTCTTTTGTGAGATCGGAACTTCTTTCTTTTAATGGTCAATAACGGGTTTTTTCAGATCTTAGCTTACATAGAATATCGTGTGTTGGATCACCAGTTCCGTAAATAGTGAGAAACTGCAAAGGAAACGATCTATAAAACATAGCTTTATCGTGCTAACCAGTTGTTCCGTAGAGTGTAGTCATTGCCTTCCTTCCTTGTTAAAGGTTTTTTGGCAACGATTTACTTTAAAACTTGCACCCAAACTTTTTAAGCTGTAAGGATAGTATAGTTGCAGCCTTGCCTGTTACAGCTGCATCACCATCACCATCACCACCAAGGAGGAGAGTGATCTGTGCAACGGAGGCCAATTTCGTGTTCTGCGATTTTTCCAAGATCTTAGGAAAATTAGCATATTGCATAAATTAATTCGCATAATTATAATTCAGCGTGTTATTTTGCTAATGGCGGCCTTGTCTCCTGCCATCGGCAGTTGTCTTTCGTCGCCCAGCAACATTAATTTTGAATGGATTTATGCTCTTTGCTTCAAAGAGTTGCAAGAGCAAGATGACAGAAATCTCATTGAAGGAAAAAGTTCATTTAATGTTGTTGACGAACTGAATGATTTGCCGTTTAAAGTGGTCTTAAATTATAAGTACATTTGCAAGCGTTGTTTAAATGCTCTGAAGAAAAGAAAAGGTTACAAGACAAAGCTTGCTGAGACAGATAAACAGTTGTTTATTGATTATATGAACAAATGCAACAGCGAATTGAAGGTACATCGGTCTACCGGTGAAGATGACGACGGACAGCCACCGTTCAAGAAAAGTAGCGGAAACCAGATGGGTGGAAACAAAGAGTTGGCATATCAAAAAGTTTTGAAGTCCATCGGTGTCCAAACAACTAAATGTTTCCAACGGGATACGCCTCTTGAAAGGCCAGTTGATGGGGCACAAGAGTTCTTGTCAGAGCAGAATGGAAATCTGTGA